TGGTGTAAGATGCAAACAGACCACTTGGATTAGGCAAATCATGGAATCACGGAATGACCAAGTGTGCACTGGGCTGAGTGCTGGGCAAGCTCGTGGATAAACTGAAACCCTTGCACAGATGCTATTCTTCTGGTATCAAAGCAAACTCTGCAAGGACAGGATGCATTTGATTTCCTGCTCTTGTGTGTAAGTGTGTGTGTGTGTGTGGTATTGGGGTTTGAACTCAGGGCCTCACGCTTGAGCAAGTACTCTACCACTTGAGCCATTCCTCCAGTGACAAGATGCACTTGAGTTTGACTCCATCTCTTCTGCCTGCTGGTGGGTTACTGCAGTTCACCAGGAAAATTGTTTGGAATTTGAAAAAGCTCCAAATCCTGTCTCAGGGAGCCTGTGCCTCTTGGCTTCCTCGCAGCTCCTCCTTTGTGACCATAGAAGTTAGATAACCACATGCTGGCTTTCACAACTCATTATTCCCTTCAGAGCAGCCTAGCGCACAAAAGAGAACCTGTGCTTGCCATTTTCTGATTCAGATAAACAGCTTCATCTGAAGACAACAGCAGGTGCCCTTACCCCAGCGAAGCACCTTTCTACCCGCCCCCCTCCCATCCTCACCACACTGCTGTCTGACTCTCCTTACCTATGGTGGGGGCACATGTGGAAAAGAAATGGGGACCCAGTGAGTCCTGGTGCTCTCCAGGAGACCACAGGCCCTGATGGGAGCTGAGGATGTGGAAGGTAGAGAGCAGCCAGGGTCCTCCCAGTGTTTAAAGATTCAGGCAGAGCTGTGTGGATCCAAAGAGGTAAATGGTCCCCAAGCCTGGGCAGCACCCCCTAACTTCCTTCTCATTCCCTGCCCTGCCTGGTCCTGTCTTCTCCCATAGTAGGTACCACATCCCAGTCACAGGAGGCTAAAGGGGAAGAAGGAGGATGCAAATTTGATCTGGGCAGAGGAAGGGCATTGCCAAGGCCAGTGTTGTTCAAGGTGATGACAAAACTGGGCCTAGAAGCCTCACTGCTTGGTTTACAGACCTGTGCATTTTACACAAATGAAGAGGCCTCTTTAGCTGGGCTGTTGGGAGCTTCTTACACATTCAGTCCCTCCATATAAATATTAATGACCTATCAAAACACCAAAATTGCAACAGGACAAAGTGGGACATTTCCTAGTCAGCTCTAAAAGTGTGCAGAAGAGATTACAAGCTGCCTCATCCCCAAGGTCTCGGGTCCAAATAGGTCTGGGAACCTAGTGATTTGTTCAGTGTCATGGGCTCCCTTCCTCTGCTGTTCACCCAGTGACCACTCATAGCATGGTTTGTCCCTTGCACTGTTTGACTCTGGATCTGTATAAAATCTCAGATTCTCAGCTCCTTAAACAGCATGCCGTCTACCCAACTCTGGATGTCCTGAGGCAGCTCTCTTGTGTACGGGATCACTTAGCCTGAGTCATGTCCAGGTGAAGTCGAGGATTGAGGATACAGGGCCAGGAGTTAAGAATAAAGTCAGCACAAGGTTTATTGAAGAGACAGTAAAGCTCGTGCATGGGAGGGCAGAAAGCTAAGCCACAGTGTATCTGGAGTCTAAGGAGTAATATAGGGCTCTGCCCAGTGTAGGCCCAACTATTCTACCTTGAAACTATATTTGTGATTGATTGGCATGTAATCAACTCTCCATTGAACCCGGCACCTTCCTGTCCCCATCCTTATCAAATAGAACATTCTGGTAAGGTCTGATCAGCTGGTCCTGGCCTTGGGGCCCACTACCCACATCTTTCAGCTGCATTCTGTTATGTTGGTAAGAGGCCTATTACTTCTCTGAGAAGCCTGTTGTTTCTCATGCCCCTTCAGATTTTTTTTTTCATTTTTCTTTTATTATTCATATGTGCATACAAGGCTTGGTTCATTTCTCCCCCCTGCCCCCAACCCCTCCCTTACCACCCACTCCGCCCCCTCCCTCTCCCCCCCTCTCAATACCCAGCAGAAACTATTTTGCCCTTATCTCTAATTTTGTTGTAGAGAGAGTATAAGCAATAATAGGAAGGAACAAGGGGTTTTGCTGGTTGAGATAAGGATAGCTATACAGGGCATTGACTCACATTGATTTCCTGTGCGTGGGTGTTACCTTCTAGGTTAATTCTTTTTGATCTAACCTTTTCTCTAGTTCCTGGTCCCCTTTTCCTATTGGCCTCAGTTGCTTTAAGGTATCTGCTTTAGTTTCTCTGCATTAAGGGCAACAAATGCTAGCTAGTTTTTTAGGTGTCTTACCTATCCTCACCCTCCCTTGTGTGCTCTCGCTTTTATCATGTGCTCAAGTCCAATCCCTTGTTGTGTTTGCCCTTGATCTAATGTCCACATATGAGGGAGAACATACGATTTTTGTTTTTTGAGCCAGGCTAACCTCACTCAGAATGATGTTCTCCAATTCCATCCATTTACCAGCGAATGATAACATTTCGTTCTTCTTCATGGCTGCATAAAATTCCATTGTGTATAGATACCACATTTTCTTAATCCATTCGTCAGTGTGGGCATCTTGGCTGTTTCCATAACTTGGCTATTGTGAATAGTGCCGCAATAAACATGGATGTGCAGGTGCCTCTGGAGTAACAGTCTTTTGGGTATATCCCCAAGAGTGGTATTGCTGGATCAAATGGTAGATCGATGTCCAGCTTTTTAAGTAGCCTCCAAATTTTTTCCAGAGTGGTTGTACTAGTCTACATTCCCACCAACAGTGTAAGAGGGTTCCTTTTTCCCCGCATCCTCACCAACACCTGTTGTTGGTGGTGTTGCTGATGATGGCTATTCTAACAGGGGTGAGGTGGAATCTTAGTGTGGTTTTAATTTGCATTTCCTTTATTGCTAGAGATGGTGAGCATTTTTTCATGTGTTTTCTGGCCATTTGAATTTCTTCTTTTGAGAAAGTTCTGTTTAGTTCACATGCCCATTTCTTTATTGGTTCATTAGTTTTGGGAGAATTTAGTTTTTTAAGTTCCCTGTATATTCTGGTTATCAGTCCTTTGTCTGATGTATAATTGGCAAATATTTTCTCCCACTCTGTGGGTGTTCTCTTCAGTTTAGAGACCATTTCTTTTGATGAACAGAAGCTTTTTAGTTTTATGAGGTCCCATTTATCTATGCTATCTCTTAGTTGCTGTGCTGCTGGGTTTCATTGAGAAAGTTCTTACCTATACCTACTAACTCCAGAGTATTTCCTACTCTTTCTTGTATCAACTTAAGAGTTTGGGGTCTGATATTAAGATCCTTGATCCATTTTGAGTTAATCTTGGTATAGGGTGATATACATGGATCTAGTTTCAGTTTTTTGCAGACTGCTAACCAGTTTTCCCAGCAGTTTTTGTTGAAGAGGCTGCTATTTCTCCATGGTATATTTTTAGCTCCTTTGTCAAAGATAAGTTGCTTATAGTTGTGTGGCTTCATATCTGGGTCCTCTATTCTGTTCCACTGGTCTTCATGTCTGTTTTTGTGCCAGTACCGTGTTGTTTTTATTGTTATTGCTTTGTAATATAGTTTGAAGTCAGGTATTGTGATACCTCCTGCATTGTTCTTTTGACTGAGTATTGCCTTGGCTATTCGTGGCCTCTTGTGTTTCCATATAAATTTCACAGTAGATTTTTCAATCTCTTTAATGAATGTCATTGGAATTTTGATGGGAATTGCATTAAACATGTAGATTGCTTTTGGGAGTATCGACATTTTTACTATGTTGATTCTACCAATCCATGAGCATGGGAGATCTCTCCACTTTCTATAGTCTTCCTCAATCTCTTTCTTCAGAAGTGTATAGTTTTCCTTGTAGAGGTCTTCACATCTTTTGTTAGGTTTACACCTAGGTATTTGATTTTGTTTGAGGCTATTGTAAATGGAATTGTTTTCATACATTCTTTTTCCGTTTGCTCATTGTTAGTGTATAGAAACAGATGTTTGTTTTTAAAATGTCTTCCTCATCCAAAATGGAGTCACCACTGTCATCCATTGCCCTCACACTCTGGTATCTCAATCTACAACTGTTTCTGCAGTCCCCTCTGAGGCCTGAATAGTGGCAGTTACCTGGTTAGTGAATATGAATAGTTAGCAGTTAGTCTGTATACATGCTGGAATGTTCTTTTTTTGTCACTTGAGTTGGTCTGTTTGGCATTCTACTCTGCAAGGTTCCTAGAGCAGAAGTGGAAAACACCCTCCATTCATCCAGTTTCCAAGTCTATGATCCTGTGGGTATCCATTCCTCTGCTTGGATGACTTAATGTGGCTGAACCAAAAGTGCCCCCGGTTTAAATCCACACCCCACACTCCTACCCCTGGCAGTATTGGGCTGCCTAGAATACATATTGGGAGGGACATAAATAGTACAGAGAGAGAGGAGATACAGAAGACACTTTAATGTCTCCGTGAGCTCCACCTGGTACAGAACTGATATGTCCCTTATACATCCAGTTCTGATGGAGACTATAATAACAGTCTGGCTCTACCTTCAATGGGGAGACAGCTCAGAGAAGTGGGGGCCTCCCCTGCATCTCAGCAAGCAGATTCTGATTCCTAATCCTGCCTCTGTTAGCAGAGCCACATTCCAGGCTTGGTACCACAAGGGTGAAGTCCCTGCTCCATTTCAGGAAATGAGATTGTTGCTTTTTTATTTATACAAAAATGAAAAATAAATACCAGATGTTTGAAAACATAGTACAACTTATCTTGCCAGGACTTAAAAGTGCATTCTAATTGAAAAAAAAATTAAATTAAAGTCCACAAAGCAAAAAAGATGTTTGAATGAAGATGCACTTTGTTTTTCTCACACACACATAAACAATAGCTTATTGTTTCTTCTTCAGGGAGCAGCTGTGAAGGAAACTGGGGGAAGGGACAGACACAACATCACATGTTTGTGCTTCATACAGAGCTCAGCTTTTAGGCAGCCTTCCTGAACTATGGGGGTGTGGCATGCAGGTCCTGATAGAAGCTTATAAAATGACTTGGGAGAAGCCAGTCTCCAAGACAGGCATCTCAATTTGGATGATTCTGTATGCTGAAGCTTCTTTCATCTTGATAAAACGAGGTATGTTTTATAGTTTTAATTTTCATTCATGATAAATGATGCTTAAAATAGAGACTGGCTTGACTTTCCATTGCCCCTTTCAGCTATAAATTATAACTCCCACCCATGGAGGTCTTGTGCAGTGGCTTTACAGATTTGGTCTCACTTCTTCTCAAACTTAAAAGGTAGGTATTATTAATTCCATTTTTCAGGTGAGAAAACTGAGGTGTAGATAGTCCAAGCAATGGGCTGGTGCTCAGCTCAAAGTCTTCTCTTATTCTATGCCTTCTCCCTACCAAAGAAGACCATGAGAAAATTTCCCATGCACCAAGACTGCACTACATGAATTCTCTATGAGTGACCCAACTGTGCTTGACAGTAAAATCAACTGAAAACTGGAATTAATCCTGTGAGGAGCATATTAAACAATATGGCACCAAAAGATTGTTTAAAAGATCTGGTTCTTGCTAGATTCATAGGCTAAATGGGTTTTGAAGACCATTTACCTGTGGAAGTATATTTTATTTTGTCATATGAAATCTCAAAATCTAGTCCCTAATGTTCCATATCTCTTGAGTTCTAAGACTATGTGACACCTAGGTGCTCTTGGGAGACCTGGGCTTGAATTCTTACACTATACCAGGAGGTAATCTGTGAGACTAATATCCCTGAGTACAGGACAAGGTCAGTGCAGATTGCTTCCAAATGAGATGCTGGAGATCCAGTGGGAGCGTACTTAGGTACCAACGTCAGGCTTCCCATGGAGAGGTTCAGTGGGCATCAGCCTCAGTCAGGGCCTAGGCCTGGGTGGATACAGTGCAGCCTTAAAAGAATTACTTTTGGGTTATTTAATAGTCAGTTAAAATAATGTTTAAATTATATTTATTTTCAAAAGTCGAACTCATTCAGATAATCTTCCTATAGTATCAGGTGCGGAAATGTATGCCATAAGTACTCCGTATTTTACCCACGGTCATACGTTAATACCCTAATTAATACATATACATTGATAACATGCTCCATAGTGTTGGATGAATCCAAATGGAAGGGACATGGAAAAACATGGGTGCTGTCAACTCCTGTTTTTGCAAGAAGTTCTAACCACAGGAACTCCTGCAACTAGAGGTACCACTGGAAGAGCTGCAGTTAGGAATGTTAGCCCTATTTTGAAATCCTCCTACAGAACTAAAGGGTATGTTTCAGCACCCAGAATGTCTTGTAATAAGACAAGTGTCAGAGTAAGATGTGGAACTGACTTTTGGTGTCATTGCTTAGATATGAGATGAGACCCTGTAGAATGTGCCCACTGTGTGCTACCCTGTGAGATTCGATGCTCTGGGCAAGATCTGAGGTTCCAAGAATTCTGTGAAAATGTTGTGGATTTAGGCCTGGTTTCTACACACCCTTCATCTTTCCAAAGTTAAAAGACAGGTGTTGTTTACATGGTGGTAGAAAGCTGATGGAAAACGAAACCTCCACAGCTAAGGAAAGTGGTCCCACCACAGACTTGCTTGAGGGCGCCTCAGCAGCTGCTCCCTCCCCCACCAACTCCAGCTGGCAGCTCTCACTATAGTTCTTACTCCTTGCGTAACTGTTCTTTTGAAAACCAGGCAATGAAACCTCCAGAAGAAAAGCTATTGATTATTAAAGTTATTTGGAGGTTTCAAAACTCATAATAGGTGGTTATAATTATTCTTGTTATGACAAATCCTTTTCAATGCTCAGATCTGAGAACATTTTGCTTGCATTGGCTCAGTCATCTTCATCAGAGGGAGAAAGACAGAGCTGGAAATAGCTCATGTGCAGCTACAGGCAAAGAGTCACAAGGAAGGGAACAGACAGGAGGCAAGTCAGTGAAGGGCACAGAGAGGAGCCCAGCACGTCCACAGCCTGTTCTCAGCCACAGCCAGAGCCAGTTGTGACCACCAGAGGACCCCCTGGGCTGAAATGCTTGCTGCAGTTACAGATCAGCTGATAGTCCTTGGATAAATGCACACCAACTATGACAAATGCCCTCAACACGATGTAGAAAAATAAGGGAAACATGATCCTGTTTCTGCTTCTCATAATAACAATAGTAGGATTTATTGAGCACATACTTTGTCAGAGACTGGCCTGGACTCTCTCTCTCTCTCTCTCTCTCTCTCTCTCTCTCATGATGAGGTCTCCCTATGTCACCCAAGCTTGAACTTGGTCATGCATACCTGGGTTCAAGTGACCCTCCCACCTCTGCCTTCTGAGTAGCTGGGACTACAGCCCCATGTGCCACCAATCCTGACTTTATATTTTTTCATTTAATTCACACAAAGTTTCATGAGATAGGCATGATTACTATTCCTACTTTTTAGGCCAAGAAACTTTATAGGCCACTGTGAAGGTCTCCAGGCTGCTCTTGGGTTGGTAGAACAGCCCAGCAAGATAGGGGCTGGGGGCGGGGGGGATGGGGGGTTAAGGAAGCAGTTCCTTTATGAATCTCACAGGACACTTGATGCTGTGTATGATTTTCTTTTGCTTTTTCTGTCATAGATCATTCCAAGGTTGTTCCCCCATGCCTATCCCCTACCCCTGTATACACACTTTCTGTTCACAACAAGTACCTATGGAACCTGACACTTTGAGGTCCTAGTGGTGATTCTGAGGAGACCTGGACGTGGTGCCTACCCTGGGGAAGCACATAATGAGGTGGGGGGGGGAGATACAAAATCCACCCAGTAACTAACACAGGTGGGAAGTGCTCGAATAGAAGTGCCAAGACTATGGGGCAGAAGGCCTCAAAGTAGCAGGTGTCCCCTGAGGGCTGAGGAGGATACCTGCTGAGGGACCAGGCATGCACCAGGAATCTTTCTCTATCACCATGTGTCCTCAGGAGGCTCAGATACTTCCAACTGCTTTGTTCCCCCTGACTCCAGGCTCTGTCTGCAGCTGACTGCTCCAAGATGCTGACGATGCTGTTATTCCTCTCCACACTGGTGGGCCTCTTCACTGCAGCCAAAGGACAAGCATTCCACCTTGGGAAATGCCCAACTCCTCCAGTGCAGGAGAATTTTGACGTGAATAAGGTATGGTAAAAGGCTAACCCCCCATTTGTTTCTATGTCCTTTTTGAATAAGTATCCTGAAAGCCTCAGTTTTATTAGTTTGCTTTAATCTCTACAGCAAGCCTTGGGACAGGTACTTACCTTATTTTGGTTTCCCCAAAGCAGACTCAAAGCAGGGTAGCAGGAAGGAGTCATAGGCAGATGATTGCAGGAAGCCATGGTCATATGGGAAGCGAGCCCCAAGGGCAGAGACACAATGAAGGGTAAACAACAGGGATCCCTCCTGCTGAGGCTTCCTGGAGGAAATGTGTGGAATGCACTTTAGCTTGCCCATGGATGATGCCAACAGTCCATGGGAGCTCCCAGGGCACTGGCAAGCCCCTCAGCACAGGAGAGCCACAGAGTGTCACCTGGGGAGCAGGCACTCTGAGGACAACTCAGAATGGTGCTGAGGGGGACTCAGAATGGGGCATTAACTGTGGCTGCCACAGTACTGTTATCGCTGTCCTACAGAGAGAACTGAATGTCCCTCTCAGGTGACACAGCCAGCAAATGCACATAAAGGTCAAAATGAGGCTTCCCATCAGTGCAGGAAACCCAAGGATTACTCAGATAGGCCTAGGAAAGACCAGAGGGCAGTAGAGGGCTTTCTTGCTACCTGCAACATAACCAGTCTTCCCTAAATGGTCGCTCTTTCCTTGGCGGGGAACAGAGGGAGAAGCAGAGAGATGCACGTATCAGATGACATGACCTAGAGGCTCCCCAATATGGCTAGCTCATGCCTGGACTCTAACCCCAAGGCCTCCTCTCCTTAGTAGAAGGCTCTGATTCTTTCTAAGAGGCAACACACCTGGTATGAGTAACACGGAAGTTATTGTCAGTCACTGGTATCTCAGTGTGAATGACTGTTGGAAGCTGTATTAGTCAATTTTGTATCACTGTGCTCAAAATACATGACAGAAACAACCTAAGGGAGGAAGGATTTATTCTGACTCATGGTTTCAGAGGTGTCAGTCCATTAAGGCAGGGAGAGTGTGGCACAGCAGAGCAATTCACACCATGGACTACAGGAAGAAGTCAGAATAAGATACAGTTCCTGAGGACCACGCCCAGTGGCCTACTTCCTCCAACTAGGCCCCACCTCCTACCTTTCACTGGCTCCCAGTGATGCCATCATACTACGAATCCATCAAACGATTAATCCATTGATTAGATCAGAACCCTCAGGATCTAATTATCTCTAGAAACCCATCACAGACATACCCAGAGGTGTGCAGGTGTGCTTTACTAATCTCTTAGTATTTCTTTTGGAATGGGGTGGCAGGGGAGAGGGAGGGGAGAGTCAGCTCTGGGGTTTGAACTCAGGGCCTTGTTCTTGCTAGGCAAGTGATCTACCACTCCCCCAGTCCTTCTAGGCATTTCTTAATCCAATCAAGTTGTCAAGATTAATCATCATCGGAGTTCTGAAGGAATGGGTTAGGTTGAGGTGTGAGAAAAGAGAGCTTGTTGACTAAGAAAAGGCACCATCATAGGACTGAGGGAGCTCCAACAGGAGAGGTGGGAAGGAGATGTATGCTGAATCCACATTGACTTGCCCTGCTAGTAATTTAAGAGCTGATCCCTTTACTCAGGTAAACCTGGTAGACCACAAAGAAGCTTTACAGAAAAGACCTAAGACGTTTAATTTTGGGGTAAAAATTCCAAGACACTTCGGAAATTAAAATTGATCTGTGTTGATAATTAAAGCAGGAAATTTTTATTGAGATTAGTTCATGTAGCAAATCATTTATTTGTTTAAAGACTTCTTTCACTTTCAATGATTTTTAGTATATTTACTTATGCAACTATCACCACAAACAATTTTAGGATGCCTTCACTACCCCAAAAGAAACCCCAAAGGCATTCACAGTCACTCTTCTGTTTCCCCCAACCCTTCCAGCCCTGAGGAGCCAATAATCTACCTTCTGTGTGAACTTTCCCATTCTAGATATTGCATAGTAACAGAATATATAATACATAGTCTTTTATGACTGACTTCTTAATATATTTTCAAGGTTCATCCAAATTTAAGGCTGGAATAGTACCCCATTCCTTTTTATTGACAAATAATATTCTACTGGATGGATTATGCCTCATTATATTTGCCGATTATTTGAGTTGTTTCTATTTTTTACTATTAGGAACAATGCTACTATGAATAGTCACGTTCAAGGTTGTTGGGGGAGAGGGACATACATTTTCAGTTTCCTTGGGTATAGACAGAGGAGTAGAATTGCTGCTGTGATAACTCTGTGTTTAACTTTTTGAGAAACTGTGGGACTGTTTTCCAAAAGAGCTGTACTATTTCACATTCTCACCAGCAGCACAAAATTCCTATTTCTCCATATCTTTGCCAATAGTTGTTATTATTGTCTTTTTTACTATGGCCATTTTTAGTAGTTGTGTCTTTGATTTGTAATTCCTAATGGCTAATACTGTTGAGCATCTTTACTTATTGGCCACTTGTATAAAATCTTCTTTGAATATTTTCTATTCAAATCCTTTACTCATTTTTAATTGGGTTATCTTTAACTGTTGCAATGTTAGAGTTCTTCCTATATTCTAGATACAGTGTCTTATCAGATAAATGATTTACAAATATTTTTGTTGAGCTCGTTAGCTCTAATGGTTGAATTTTTTTTTTAGATTCCTTAGGATTTCCTATATACAAGGATATGTCACCACCAATTAAGATGTTTTATGTCTTCCTTTCCAGGATTCTTTTTGAACATTGAGTTCTCCTTATACAGGTAGAGAAACTGAAAAGGGTTAAGAGGGCTTCCAGAAATAATCTGAAATCATGAAGGAGCATAACATAAAAATCAATCTCTCAGCCCTGAATTTGCTCTTTTCTGGAAAACCACATTTCTTTGCTTTTGGGGAGCACCAAGTCACTTGAACAGTAACAGAAGTATTTTAAATGTACTGGAAAATGGAGTGTTTTCTGAGAATGTCTGTCAAGCTAGTTGACCCTATCTTTGGTGCTTTAAATGAACATTAAGTTTGGTGAGGTTTTTTTGCTTGTTTGTTTGTTTTTTATTTTTGGCAGCACTGAGATTTGAACTCAGGGCCTCGTGCTTGCTAGACAGACACTTTTACAGCTTGAGCCACTCTGCTGGCCCAAGTTTGGTGTTTCAGTTAACAGCTGTGTCCTGATAAATGAGTGGGAAATTTCTGGTCATAAATGTGGGTATATATTTGAGCCAAAACCCACGTGACTGAAGCAATGCTGCTGCCTGTTTGCAGTCAAATTCTGAGTTTTTGAAGATGAATGCATAACCCTAATTTTTCTTTGTTAAATAACATATTTTTTAACTTTATAAAATAATTTCAATGAATATTTTGACTAGATAAATATACCCAAACAGTTCAAAATTCTAAAGGTGCAAAAAGAAGGCTGAGGGTGTGGCTCAGTGGTACAGTATTGACTAGCAGGTACAAGGCCCTGGGTTTGATCCCCAGCATGGCACAAACAAGACAAAACAAGAAAAACCAAACTAAACGTGCAAAAGAGCATTACAATGAGAAGTTTCCTTCAGTTCCCCTTGTACCTGAGTTTCCTTTCCCATGAGCAACCAGTAAAAAACAGAATATTGTGTATCATTTTGGAGACGACATGGACATATACAAACAAATATGCATACAACTGTGGTAGATAGAATAATGACTTCCAAAAATGCCCATCCCCTAATCCCTGGAACCTGTGAATATGTCACTTTACATAGAAAAAGGGATCTGCAGATATGACTAAACAATGGACCTTGAGATGGCCAGATTAGGCTAATCCCAAACTATTTAGAAGCAGAGAAACTTTCTGAGCTGTGGTCAGAGAGAGTGGTTTGATGAAAGAATAAAAGTCAGAGAGATATAATGGAAGAATGCTTTGGTTGACTTTGAAAATAAGGAAGGTGTCCCAACCCAAGGAAAGCTAGCAGCCTCTACCACCTGGAAAAGGCAAGGAAACTGGTTCTCCCTAGAGCCTCCAGAGACGAATGTGGCCCACATCTCAATTTTAGCCTAGCGACACTAGGATCAGATTTCTGGCTTACAGAACTGTAAGATTAAAAAAAAAAATCTGTGTTATTTTAAGCTTGTGGTAATTTATTATAACAGCAATAGAAAGCAAATATAATAAGCTTTTCCCCTAATTTTACACAAAATGTAGTTTAAGATCCACACCATTTTGTACCTGATCTTCTGCTTTTTTTTCATTAAATGTATCTTAGATATAATTGCATATCACTCTTTAAAAAGAGGCTGAATAAAATCCCTTGGATGAATGCACCATCACTTATTTGCCCAGCTCCCTTCTAATGCTCACTTAGACTGTTTCCTGTCTTTGATAATTACAAACAGTACTGCAACAAATACCCTTATACATGTGTCACTTTTTTATGGCAAGAGATACACTCCCTGAAATCAAACTGCCAGGCCAAAGAATATATGTACTTTTAGTTTTGTAGATATTGCCAAACTGCCTTCCACAGAAATTGTAAGTTGTTACAGCCTCTGTGCAAGGTATGTTTGGTAACACTAGAGTGCCTGCTCCCCGCTAGCCCTTTGGCCACAGTAGCAGTTTTCTTAAAGTTGACTCGATCTACCCCAAAGTTATGAACAAAAAGCAAGCCCCCTGCACCTTGAGGAAAGATGTTGTCTAAATCCTGAGCAACTCCCAAAAGCCTTTATGATTAATTTCTTGTGTAAGGTCATCTGAGGAAAAGTTCAACCAACTCTGAGTCTTAGTGCCCCAACAGCCAACATGTCTGGCTTTGTACAAAATTCAAAGATGCTTTGTACCATCACCAAATGTTTGAGATGGAAGGTACTTTCCATCATCCCTTCCTTTGACAGAGTCTAGAATTTCAGCAAGGTTTGGCTGAAGAGGACACTAAGAACATGTCTAAATAAAGAGCGCTTTAGGAACAGAATGTAGCCTTCTCCAGGGCACACACAGTGCATTCACTTGTTGTCATTTGCATCAGTGTCTTGCTCAGTTACACTGGACACAATGCAGCCCCTTCTGCCTGGTTTCCCCAGGAAAGGGCTCTGCTTCTGCAAGTTAACAATGGGGAAGAGTTCTCATGTCCCCAGAGAGACCCAGGGCATTGCTCTGGTTGTTGATGTCTCTGCAGTATCTTGGAAGATGGTACGAAATTGAGAAGATCCCAGTGAGCTTTGAGAAAGGAAGCTGCATCCAAGCCAACTACTCTCTAAAGGAAAACGGAAACATCAAAGTTCTAAATCAGGAGCTGAGGTAAGTGAATGTACACAGGAGCGGCTGCAGTGTTGTCCTGGGGTGACTGGTGCTCATGCAGTCAGGGCCAGGCAAGACAGACAGGACTAGAATACACTCATTCATTTCCTTAATCATTTTCCTAGTGCCCTGGGAGAGGCACTAGGGACTCAACAGTAACGCAAACTGTCAGCCTTCCTGCCCTCATCACAAAATAGAGTCACTGGTTGTAGAGGACATGGATCACCTGGACTGACCTCCAAACCAAGACAGAAGCCCCTTCTGTACCATCTGCTCACCAGCTTTGCTTGAATATTTCCTGGAACTGGTAGTTGATGGCCTCCTATGACAGTTCCCTATCTCCAGGTAGTTTTTTCTGTTAGGAAACTCCTTTCATTAAGCAAGAATCAAATTCCTGTACACACATGCACACACTAGGATATATAAACAGAGTGTCCTATAGAAGTATACATTTCTATCATGGGGGCTTCTAACATTGATAGATTTACACTTTGGAAAGCAAACATAAATTTAGAGAGCCACAGAAGTCCTTCCTACCCACCCTCCATCCACAAAGATAACAGCACCAACAAACACATTTAAGCATTTCCTACGTGCAAGGCACTATTCCCTGTGTGTGTGTGTGTGTGTATGTGTACACACAGGTGTATATATATGTTAATGAATATATATTCATATAATCCCCATGATAACTCCAAAGTAGGTACTGTTATCATCCTCATGTTATGGATGAGAAAACTCATAATTTGACCAAGGTTTATAGTAGCTGATAAATGACAAAGCTAAGATTTGATCTGAGAGAAGTGAAATGGGGAAGAGAAGAGAGATGAAAGAAAGACTGGGAATGAAGGGTTGTCCTTCCTGTTCTCTACAAGCTTGAACAACTGTGTCTACTCCAAGAACACAACTGACACCCAGCCTGGAAATTCCTAGGCACACAGAGGCTCTCTGTGGCCGTCCACCATCCCAGTGGGCTGACTTCCTGCCCCTGCACACACCAGATTAACAAAGAAAGGATCTTTCTTTTCTCAAAGAAAACCCAGCTCATTTCTGAGCCTGGTAAAGAGCTATGGGAACAAGCTGGAGATGCCAGATCTCACAAGAATTCGCTAGGCCCTACCAGTCTGCTGTCCATCACTACAGTGAAATTTCCTAGGTGATTAAGTTATAAAGAGAAAAGATTTATTTTGACTCATGGTCCTGGTGGTTCCCCTCCAAGATCCAGGGGCCCCATTCTTTGAGCCTCTGGTGAGGGTGGCGCATCATGGTGGGAGTGTGTGGTGGAGCAAACCATTCACCCCAGGAGCTAAGAAGCAGAAAAGAGACAAGACAGTACCCTGTCCTGTCCCACAATCCCCTTTGAGGGCACACCCCAAGTAACCTAAGGACCTTCCACTAAGTTACCCTACCTCCTAAAAGTTCTACTGCCCCTCAATAATACCACCCGGGGGACCAAGCCTCTAATATGGAGACTTTGGGGGACACTCATCCAAACTATAGCAGGCAGGCAGTGAAGTTACAATGACCCCATTTCAAATATTTTGTCCCTTTCTAAAACCAAGAATTAAGACAAAGACACATCCTAAACCCATGAGATCCCCCTACCCTGCCATCTTATTTGAAGGGGCCAGGGTCCTCTTTCACTATATTCCTAGTATTGGGTTGCTCTGCCCAATTGTTTGGAACACAGGGTGCATGGAGAAGTAGCTGGAGAAAATGGGGTAGTTTCTCCTTCCAGGAGCACTGCACAATGAATAGAGGACATGACAGGGAGTCTGAGCAAGGGAATTCTCAGCCAGCATCAAAGAACTTAGGGGCAGAACAGCTGGCACAGCACTGGAAGATGAAGGGCTGAGGCTTTGGTGTTTGCCTCATCTCACAGCCTGGTCTGCCACTTCGTCTGTGATCTTAGGTTAGTTAGGATCATTCTGCAGGCAGTAATGATAGAACCCTCCTCCAGGGGGCTGTTTGAGCATTAAACAAGGTGACACATGTAAAGCTCTTGGATAGTGTTTGGTATGTAGTAGTCATTTAATAAATATGACCTTTTATGGTTAAGCTGCTGCTACCTTTGAAAATACAAACACGTTTTCCCATGCTCAAGTTGCAAATTTATGACCAGAGAACTGGTGTTTTGAAAACTGTTCTGGAACAAAACACAAATGATGGTGAAAAAAGGAGTGTATTGAGAAGAACCTAGTTTGTTGCTAAGTTATCATTTGCAGATAGAAATAGACCATCTTCTGAGCTGTCTGAGTTACAGTTCAGAGAGCAGGGCATGCTCTCCATCCCTACATGGTGACAAACAGACAACATAGCCAGGAATATCAGAGGACCTTTACCAAACTCCTTTACCTGTTCCTTACTGTCTGATTTCTTGAACATCACCACTAACCTAGTACTAGCCTACCAACTTTGATTTAGTCTGGCTGCCCTGCTTGAGGTTTGAAGGATAAGCAGCTCCTTTGTCCCCTCCTGAGGAGGAATCCCCTGATGCCTGAGCACCTCCCTTCTCTGCTCCCATCTCCAGGCCTTTCCCCTTTCCCCGAGGTTCACAGGGTCACTGAGAGTTAGCCAGAAATGGGCCAGGTCCCTTCAAAAGGGTGAAAGGATTTCCTTCAATCCAATACTATCACATTTAAGGTATGCCACCATTTTATATACCACTAAGAAAGAAATAGCACTGCCAATGATAAGTATTAGGGGGCATCAATTGTAAAATGTGCATTTCTTCACATTTAATCTTGCTGAGATCTGGGCTCCTCTGAGAATCACTGAGGCGAGGTCAATGTTTCCTCACTGCTTGCTTTTATCAAAATCATTCCCATTCACCTGGACATTTGCTGAACTAGAAGGGGACTCAGAGTTCACATGACATTGCCAAGATCCAAAGAGGGAAAAGCTTGTGCAATTCCAGACTCCCTGGCTGTTTCGCACCATCTTCAGTGATCAAGTTCCTCCTTCGGCTCCTCATTTGTAAAGAAGTGAATCTTCTTTGTGTGTTGAGTCAATTTATTTGTTCTTCCCTTCTCTCTTTGGAGCCTGGTGGATGGAAATGGCTAGAAAGGCAAATGTCAGATAATCAAAAAAAAAAAAAAGTGTTGAAGTGAGTGAAGGGCCTAAAGGTTATCCAATCCCAAACCATTTCCATAGTCACTTCTTATTCCCTCACCCTCCCACCACTGCCTAGGCTGTCTTTCTTCGCAGAATTTGGTCCTTCAAAGCATAAATCTTACCTTTCATTGATCTTTTTTGTTTTCAATGAGTTTTCCTTTCTTTCTTTTTCCCCCCCACATTTATCTATTGCTTTATTTCTTTCCTTTCCTGTTTTTTTTTTAACTCATTGCAGACCTGATGGAACTGTGAACCAAATTGAAGGTGAAGCCACCCAGAGCAACCTCTCAGAGCCTGCCAAGCTGGGAGTTAAGTTTTTTAAGTGTAAGTATCTATTTCTCTCAGGAACTTTCAGGGACAGCTGATATGCAAATGGAAGGCTAGAGTCCTGGATTGGAATCCTTTGTCATATCAGACTGTCATCCATCAGGGTTCAACACACAATTATTTATTGAACACCTACTCTATGCCACACACCGACTAGGCACTGAAATGTAATGATGAGCAAGACAGAGCTGGTCTTGTCCTTATGACGTGGACATACCATGTGGATACTGATGAGTAACCAGAGTTTCACTGGAAAATTCTCATCAGTGTTCCACCTGGAGAGGCTCAAATGGAAGCATATATGGCACAAGCCGTAAGAAACCCTGGGGAAACAGGAGCCCCCCAAACTAGCATATGGTAGCAGAATAACTAGCATGTGCAAAAGCTTGGAGGCAAGAGATGACAAGTTTGAATCCTGGATCTGCCACCCTCTAGTCACATTATTGGGACTCTGATTGATATTTAGCCATAAGCCCTCTAAGTTCTAAGTTAACTGGGGAATGGATGCATTCCATTCCCCCCGCATGTCAGCTTTGTTGCTGCTGTAGCTACACTGTAGCCCAGTCTTTTGGGGTTTTCTAATCCTGAAAGTGCTTGGGAGTCCCTCTCCCCTACTACATGGCAGACACTGAGGTCACCAGCTGCAGGAGAAATCACCACCTCTTCCCCACCCCTGCCATTGCTACCTCCAAGCACATACAACAGTCAAGTCCTAAAGTGGAGCAGAGAGGAAGTTCTTATTTATAGACCAAGAAAGTAATGCTGGGAGGAGAAAACAGTTCTTCCCACACATATGACATGGTATAAACCAGGGTCCTTGAAGATAAACCAGACAGTGCATGCTCCATAAAATGTCAAGGACTTCGTACACATAGTTCGTCTTGTCATTTTTACAAAGAAGAAAGTGCAGGACAGCTGAGTGCTGTGGACAGGTACTGAACTAATTAAAGGTAGAGATGGACTTAACCCTGAGTCTCCAAACTCTCATTTGAGAGCTTTTTTACATAACACGAGTGGGGTGGTGGATAGAGTGAAAGTTAAATGTTACCCGTGTAATCATCAGAAGGAGCCCTGGAATGGGAGCCAACAGAGAGTCAGGGGCTGTTTGCTAGGGAAATTGAGGAAGAAAAGATTTATTCTTACTGGAGGGCTTGCCCATAGCAAACATCTAAGGGTATGTGAGAGATTATGGGAAAGAAGGGCTGTTTCAAGTGGAAGGAATAACCTGGGAGATGCCTGGAGAAGGGAGCCTAGTGCAGGAAGTTATGAGAATGAAGAGCAGAAATGCAAATCAGCAGAGACCCTGTCAAGTTAAATGATCTACAAAAATGTGTGTGTGTGTGCCTAATCTTACAAAAATCCAAGGACAGGAACCAAAGACAGTGAATTGTCTTAGGAACTGACTGGGATGTGGGAAGCCATAAGCAAGTGAAGCTGCTCCATTAGGGGAGTTGGGTGGATGGCCTGGGGCCGCTGGCTGAATATTATTGACTCCACTTAGCTAAGATGTTCCTCCACATGCATTGGTGCTAACTGCAGTCTATTGGTTGAGGAGGTATTCCCGAACCATCTGGTTCCTCCAGAACATCCGCCACTACCAGGTTGTTGAAATGGCTTTTCAACTTTGGCCAAACATTGGGCTCACCAGGGAGCTTTAGAAAGTATCAAGTACCACCAAACAGGGTGGCACATGCCTGCAATTCCTCACTGACGAAAATAGTGAGTTTGAGGCCATCTTTGCTATGTTGCAAGACTATCTCAAAAAAAAAAAAGAAGTACCAACCACATGCAGATCTGAAGCTAGGGAAGGGTGGGGGTGGGAGGCTTAGTGTCTTTCAAAGCCTCCATATAATTCCAATGTGAAGCCAGTTAAGAACAAGTGACCTAAGAAATAGAACCAGAGTCTTAGAAATGAGGTCTCTCTTGCCTTGGTCTCTCCTCATGCCACCTTCTCCTGGTTCTTAGTGATGCCATCAGCACCGTACTGGGTCCTGGCCACCGACTATGAGAACTATGCTCTTGTGTACTCCTGCACCACCATCATCTGGCTTTTCCACCTAGATCACGTTTGGATCTTGGGAAGAAACCCCTATCTCCCTCCAGAAACAGTGACCTCTCTAAAAGACATCTTGACGTCTAATGACATCGACGTCGAGAAAATGACAGTGACAGATCAGGTGAACTGCCCCGACTTCTTGTAAGGAAACTCTACAGGGAGCCATAGTCACTCCATGTCACTTCTTTTGCTTTGCTTTCTCTGACTCTGCCCAACCCCGTCCCTAATGAAGACACGCAACAACCAACCATGACAAGCCACTGCAAGTACCAGAAGGGAAGTTTGACTACAGAAGTAATGGAGGGGAACTCATGGAAAGTTGGCCCAAACACAGCTATGCCTGCCCTGCTACTCTGCTAGTCCAATAATAAACACATTGCTGACCTGCTGTGGCTCACAGTAGATTCCAAATTGGGTTGGTTATTGTGGGTTTTCATTATAAGTCTGTTCTTAGAAATCCTGCAACAGTTAGGTTGAGAAAAAGTAAGTTCTGAAGTGTCCTAGTTCAAAGGTAGCAGTCCTGTTCAGAAAGGGGAAATCTGATGGTGAAGACATATTCTGGTGACCTAGATCCAGTAGTCCATTCTGCAGTAGATACTCCTTTAGGGGGAATGACTTGGGGGTTTCCAGCCTCTGACAGGGAGTTCCTTGAAGTTTTTACTATTTCATAGGAATTCTTCAGAGTAAGGCTGAAGAATGGCCATCAGGGTCCACGCAAAGAAGAGGAGAGTGCATGAGGGAGAAGATAATGGAATTTTTTTCTTGATGAGTTTAAAAAATTGTTGTAGTCTTTCATGCACTTGATATTGCCGAGGCCCAACTGCATTCCAGGCATAGAAAAATCCAGACTCCCTAAAACCCTTCAGAAGTTTGCAGTCTAGAAAGAGAGACAAGTCTTTACTTGCTTGCCATTTTAACTTACCAAGGCAGGAATACAGGGGAGAGGCTGGCAGAGGTGCCCTGGGAGCTCCAAAGAAGTCCCAACCCCTGTAAGACACAGGCAGCCAAGGTGGTGCAATCCCTCCTCGTGGCCTTCCCACTTTCCTGCTCCACCAGGAAGTCAGGAACCACCTGGAATTGGGCTTTATATCTTGTGACTTTTAAAATCAGAAAGCCCTCAAAATGATCACCCTACAATTTCATTTACCTCATATCAATTTTATAATCTACTAATGTTCTAGGAAATGAATAGAAAATTAAGCCCTTTGGTTAGATTTTTGCTTTTAAAAAAACCCACAAATATAAAACATTGATTTCCTTGAGCATTTGAGGTTCTTTTTTCTAAATAAATATGAACTCAAGATACAGCTTCAATTTAAAATTCCAAAAGGTTGAAATCATTGGGAAAAAAGTCAAGGATTTAGAGCTAGGTGGTTAAGTCTCTCCTGGCTTTGCTGGCTGTGCTTGATGCATTACCCCACTGCCCATCCCATCAGAAGGCAGTTGGCGCCTCTATAAAATACCATGATTCCTCAGAGTGTTAAGCTGCCATGAGTCTTTTATTTCATGGTACAAAAATATGTTATGATTTCATTCCTCCTAGCAGCAGTGTGGTGACATCTGAAGCAAAGTGACTATGCTTTATACCTTTTTCAGTGTTTGCCCAGTACATAAGCTTAATTATTTTATGTGGATGAATTACTGAATGGGTGAATAGATGGATGGACTTGGGCAAAGAAGGAAAAGGAACCTATGAAGCAAGTATCAGGGCAACTGAAAATTTGGGATTCCAGAGGAAATGTGGGTGCCAGGTACTCCCATGGAGGAAACACAACAAAAACATCCAGAAGGGAGAGAAAGAGAAGGGAGTGAGAAGTAAACATCAAAACAGAGACAACAGTACTTAATAAATCCTTGCACACCCACCATTTGCTCCACCAGTATCACCAATCTTGCTCAGCTGTTACCTACCATGCCTCCATTTTTGATGCAAATCCCAGCTATCACTTCTTTTACTTTGCCCCTAGCTACATAAGTATACATCTTTTACAAATATAGATATGTTTTAAACAAAAACATTGCAAGTTATGTTTTATGCCCTGGAGGTACTCAGAAGAAGTAATCTCTATGTAATAAAAGAAAAATAATAATTTAACTTTGCATAATCTGGATGAGAAGTAAGATGTATACACAAAAATGCTCACCATAATTTTACTCGTAGCAATTCCCAAACTGAAAGAAAGCAAATTACAACAGCAGAGAAATGTGATCAGAAATTCTAGAATAGCCACTTGATGTCATGTCATGACTCATTAAAATGTGAAGACAAAGAAGCCAGCAGGAGCTGGTACCTGCCCACCCACACTACCTGGGAGGGAGTCCTTGCTGCCTTGCAGAACTACAGTCTAGAGCAGGTGATTCCATCTTAACACCCACACCTGAAAGAACCAGGGCATGTCCACCTGCACCAGTAACAGTCAATCTGCAGGCTGAACAGCAGCCTGTGACTTTTGTGGCCTAACTGGAGCAATCAAATTGAGATTTGACTTCACAAGATCTGGAGAAAAGATGACTGATAGCTCCAGAATTGTAGGGTCACTGCGTTTGTGACCCTTACAAATTGTAAGGTCACTGAGTTTGTGCAACTGGTGAGTGCAACAACGGAAGTTATGAGAGTGAAGAGCAGAAATGCAAATCAGCAGAGACCCCGTCCACCCACCCAACTCCCCTAATGAAGCAGCTTCACTTGCTTATGGCTTTCCAAATCCCAGCAAGTTTCTAAGGCAGTTCGCTGTCTTTGGTTCCTGTCCTTGGTTTTCTGTAAGATTAGGCACACACTCACACACACACACATACACATTCTTGAGATCATTTAACTTGACAAAGTAAATTATCCTTGCAACCAAAATAACCCTAAGACAAAAGTTTTCACAAGATAAAGCTGAGTGGGAAAAAAAAAGAATGCAGCATTTTAACTATGTAGTATTTATAGCTGCATGAAATGATGGCATAAAATCAAGGACTAAAAGCGAAGACAGAAAATGAAAGTTAGAGTAGTGGAATTATGGGTGATTTTTCTCCCTTTTTTTTACTTTTGCTACTGGTGTTTATAGTGTAGGCCCTAAAATGGACACAGATTCTGAAACTTCCTATTAGTTCAGCCTGACTCTCTGGTAAGTCTATTGTCAAGCCTGCCCAAAAGGAGCCTCTTCTTCCAACAGCTGCCTCAGACTTTGAGGCCTTTGGGAACTATTCACCTATTTCACCATCTCCGTCCATCACATGTGTGAGACAAGGCCATGATTAGTGAATACTGGAAGTGTGGTAGTTTACATTTTCTCCACTGAAGTAATCACAATTTACTACCAACGAGGTCCTCTGTATACTCTAAAGGAAATTATCAAGTAACTTAGAAAGTTTTTATTTTCATAATTGACTAAACATTGTTTTATTTTACAACAGACTTCCCCCCAAAGCAACCATTTTTACCTTGATAAATAGAAGTAGCTACGAAGATTTTATGTTTGCTAAATATGGTCAACTTTTATGTTCATGTCAATATTTTGATTATATGCGATATTAAAATAGACTCAAGAGTTATCTAAGGTTTTCCAGCAGAAAAGGTGACCTGAACTAACTGGAAATGACAGGGAGTTGTGAGGCAGGAAGCAAGGGGAGGGGACCCAGTGCCACTCTTGACCTCTCACAGGTCAGCCACTTATACCAGCTCTCTAAGAATTCTTCCACTTACAGTGTTAAGGTTTTCTGAGAAGGGAAGAATATCTATCTTTTTTAAAGGAAAAGAAGCCAAAAAGATTCATAAGACTAACCCTTAGTCAGGTATGGTAAACCCAATACTTGGAAGGCTGAGGCAGGAGGATGGTGAGTTCAAGGCTAGCCTGGGCTACACAGCAAGACCTTGTCTCAAAAAGCAAAAACAAATAAATTAAAAGGCCAATCCTTTACATTATTTTGTATCTTCTCCCAACTTTATCAATGTATGTATTTTTCAACGTAACAATAAATAATTTATTCTTTGATGCATGCATTATTTTGATGCATTTTACATGGGGATAGATACATAATTTTTTTACATGCTGTGTTCTATAAATGCATTGGAAGTTTTCCTAGCCTGCTAATTATAATTGAAACATAAAAATGTCCACCTTAAGCCAACCCTTGGTTATCTTCAGTACACCTTGAGGCCCAGGGAGAGCAGTAGCTTATTGAAATATAACGTCACTCTCTCAGGGAGCAAAGTTCGAAAGGACCTTGAGGCGTGAGCTACCAGAGGCTATAGCTCCATGCATGTGGGTGCTGAGCCCGAATGGTATCCTGACACCTGGAGAAGGGAAAGTGCCCAGCTTCCCTCAGAGACACTCTGTGTCTGACCGAAAGGCCTTCTCCTCACCTGGCACTTCATTCTCCCACAGGCTTTCGTAGATCTTCCCCCTCAGCCCTTCTTGGACACCCAGGCTACTGTTCTTAATTAAGACATGTCACTCTCATGGGGGAAGAGGGGTTTAGTTCCCTGGGAAGGTATACCAGAATGGGGAGAGAGTGGGTGAAAAAGCACAAAAGACTGAGAAAATTTCTCCCAAGTGATTCAGATTTGCTCCTGTGCTTCAACTGAGAGCCATTGTTTTTTTTCCAAGAGAATTTGATTACCACTCTCTGGGTCTCCCATCTGTGCACCTTTAGTTGATATCATGCCTCTTATTGACATGGACTGTAGTCAAAATCCAACCCACTAAGACAGGTGTGGTGCACACCTATAAGTCCAGCATTCAGGAGGCCAAGGCAGGAGGATGGAGAGTCCAAGGGCAGCCTGGGATAAGTAGAGAGACCCGTCCCCCCCTCCCAAAAAAAAATCCACCTCACCAAGTGTGTCATTGATATTTCTACAGAGCAATTTGGCACTATTTAGTAAAGCTGAGGATGAAAACTGAGGATGACCTAGTATTTTTATTCCCTAGTAAATGCCCTAGAAATGTGTCTGCAAGGAGAGACATGTGCAAATGTTCACTGTACACTGTTTGAAAGACTAAAAATCTGGAAACCCCCTAGATGTTCATCAAGAGAAAAATTAGTGTAAAAATTAAGAGACATGCACACATACACATAAGCACATGCACAAAATTAGAATGTTTTTGCAACAGTGAAAGTTAACTAGAGCTTCATGTATCAAAATACAGTCTACAAAATATAGCAAAAAGCAATATACAAAAGGACACCAATGACTCTAGGTATAAAAATGACATATTATTTCAAAATACATACACAGGTTATAAAATTATAATGAAATTCAGGAACTAATAAACACCAAATTCAAGGTTTTTGTTACCTCCAGAGAATGGAGGGAAGAGATTACAACTTGGCAGGGAAATACAGGTGGTTTCCATTACAATAGCAATTGTATTCACTTCTGTGGCAACTATAAAAAGTTACCACAAACTTGGTGGTTTAAAATACCAGAAATTTATTCTCTCACGGTTCTGGAGACCAGAAGTCCAAAATCAGTTATCACTGGACAGAAGTGAAGGTATGGACTGAGCCGTGCTCCCTCTGGAGGCTCTAAGGGGAGAGACTTCCTTACCAATTCCAGGTTTGGGTGACTGCCCATTCTTTGGTTTGTGGTCACATATTCCAATCTTCAGATCTTTTTTTTGCCCTGTCTTCACAGAGTAATCGTGTATGTGTGTGTGTGTGTGTGTGTGTGTGAGAGAGAGAGAGAGACAGAGAGACAGAGAGACAGAGACAGAGACAGAGATTTCTCTCTTTCTCCCTTTTACAAGTACACACATGATTGCACTTAAAGTCTCCCTATCTCAAGATCCTTAATTTAGTCACATCTACAAAGACCCCTTTTCCAAGTTAAATACTTAGAATCTTCAGAGATTAAGACCTAATATTTTTCAAGGGTCATTTTTCAGCCTACGGCAGTAATGTTTTATTTTCTAAAGCCAAATAGTAAGTAATAAGGGCTCCAACTTGGGCCTGGAGCCATTCCACAAAAAAAAAAAAGAAAGGGAGTAAGGAGTAGAAGAGCCACCAATAATTATGTGGTGACCCAAGAATACACTATCAACATTCAACATTCACAAATGCAGCCGCTGAATGGACTTCTAAAAGATGCCTCACAGGCACTCATAGAAAGTTTCCCATGAAGAAATGGGG